TGAGCGGGAGACGCCGGCACCCTCACCCCGGAGTGGGCGCGAGGGCGCGTGGGCTAGAGAGGAGGAGCCGGTGCTCGGGCACGCGCTGCGGTGACCGTGGGTTCACCCGGCCACGCTCTTACTTATTTACGGAAGTGTCATTAATTTTGCATGACATTTTCCGTTTATTTATTTATTTTTTTTACAAAAGGATACCTTTTAAAAATAGTTACCAGGTAGGGACTATTCCAGACGGACTACCTGCTGCCCTAATAGTAGAATATTCAGCCGGACACGGTACTGATTTATTCGATGAGGTTAGGCACCCTCGTCAAGAATAAGTGCCTTTTACATGCAAGGCTTCGTCTTTTGCAGCGATGACAGTGAAGTGATGACTCCCTTCGGGGACCTAGGGCGGGTTGTGCTTTATCATGATTGTTTTCTTCGGGATGCACTTGCTAGAAGTGGAGTGGACCTATGGTTTGTGGACCCGTGGATGTAATGTAAAGTGAAACCGGTTCAAGTCATAATGCAAACGCACCTTGCGCTGCGAGTGTGTCTGGAGACCCTGGTTTTGCCCTCATCCCATCACAGAGTGTGCAGTCACAGGCAGGAAGCACGTAATCTTTCTGGACCTCCGTTTCCTTCTTCATAGCCTGGGTAGGGGTGGAGGTTTAGATGCCCAGAAAGGCCAGGGCATCAGGGACTTGTTTATTCACTGCTGTATCCCCAACACCGAGCTCACTGGGATGGCAGGCACCCGGTACATTTTGTTCCCATGATGTTCTTCCTGTGATGTGATAAGCATGGTTAGTGCATTTCCTTAATTTTCCAACTTCATTCTTTTCATAAAACTACATCTGGCAATGAAAGAAGAAATCACACATTAAAAGGAAGCTTTGTTTTCTTTATTGCCTGGTGAAACTGAAAGAATACATTATGTGGTATAGTTAACACAGCAGCCCATTTTTGAAAGCAGTGTTGGTTATAAAGGAGATGCTTCATCTTGGGGAAGTGTGCGAGGCAGTATCCGTGAAAAAAGATGAAATGAACTTAGAAGAAAATTTTGAAGTATATTGAGAAACTTTTGTGTCACAAATAGGATATTTATATTTATATGTTACTCTGTTCTGTTTGGCTGGACAATTGTGTCACCTGCTCACTTTGTTGAAGCCCACGCTCTTTTCTTTGACTAACTCCAGTGACTCATACTTATTCTATTTATACACTTGTCATCTCTCATTTATAAGCTCTCTCCACACACATAGAAGCCACTGCTACCAGTTCTTTTTCTTGAAAAGCATTTAAGCTACTACTATTTTCACCTAGGTTTTTTTGAGTGAAGTACTAATATTAAATTATAACAAATCTTTTATTATAGTAAAATTGAAATGTTTTAAAAGTAAAATAGTGTAATGAAGCACCATGAACCCATCATCTTGCTTCAGTTCAAGTGGCCAGTCTCTTGTTTTTTAAAATATATTTTTATTGATTTTTAGAGGGAGATAAAAGGAGAAGGATAAGGAGATAGAAAAATTGATGAGAGGAAATCATCGATCGGCTGCCTCCTGCATGGCTCCCACTGGGATTGAGCCTGCAACCCAGGCATGTACCATGACTGGGGATCGAACCAGCAACCTCTTGGTTCCTGGGTCAATGCTCAATCACTGAGCCACACCAGCTGGGTTTGTAGCCAATCTCCTTTGATCTTTCCTCCTATCCATTCTCCCTTACTCTGGCTTATTTTGAAGCAAATCTTAGACATAAATTAATTCATAAATATTTCAGCATTAAGATTAATTTTTGTTGTTACTTCCTAGTTATCTGTTATCTGGCCTGTAGGCTTATGTTGTTCTTATTTTTCTCTGGGGCAGACTTTTTTAGCCTGACCTTTTCTTTATTCATTTTTTTTTTTATAGATCTGGCTTTGTGGGGGAAGCCAGATGATTAAATGAAAAGCATGTATACACTCTTCACAGTGCCCTTGCATATAATATGGTTATTTGACCACAATGGAATTAAATTAGAAGTCAATCATAGAAAACTCTGGAATATCCCCAAATATTTGGACACTGAATAACAATCTAAATAACCCATGGGTGAAAGAAGAAATCAGAAGAGAAATTAGAAAGTATTTTGAATTGAATAAAATGAAAATGCAACATATTGGAATTTGTGTGATACAACTAAAGCAATACTTAGAGAGAAATTACACTGTCCTAGAAAAAGAAGAGCAAATGAAATCCAAAAAAGCCAAAGAAAGGAGATGATAAACATTAGAGTGAAAATCAATGAAACAGAAAATAGAAAAAACATTTGACAAAATCATTGAAACCAAAACCTGGGTCTTTGAGGTCAGTAAAATTGATGAAACTTTAGGGAAGAAAATGAGAAGATACCAGTGATCAAGAATTACAAATTCCCAATAGGAATGTCAGGAATGAGAGAGATTACATCACTACAGATTCTACAGATATTAAAAAAGAGAATAAAGGAATATTATGAACAACTTCATGTCAGTACATTTGATAACTTGGAAGACATTCCTTGACAGATGCAAACTATCACAGTTCACTTAAGCCTGGCTGGTGTGTCTCAGTTTGTTGAGCATGTCCCATGCATTGAAAGGTTGCCGGTTTGATTCCCGCTCAGGACACATGCCCAAGTTGAGGGTTCACTCCCTGGTCAGGTTGTGTATGAGAGGCAACCGACCAATATTCTATCACATTGATGTTTTTGTTTCTCTCTTTCTCCCTCTCTCTTCCTCTCTCTCTAAAAGTCAATAAAAACATTTAAAAAACAAAGCTCACTTAAGAATAAATTACCAAATAGACCTATATCAATTAAATAAGTTGAATTTGCTGTATAAAAACCTTCCCCCAGCCCTGACCAGTTTGGCTCAGTGGCTAGAGCAGTGATGGCGAACCTTTTGAGCTTGGCGTGTCAGCATTTTGAAAAACCCTAACTTAACTCTGGTGCCGTGTCACATATAGAAATTTTTTGATATTTGCAACCATAGTAAAACAAAGACTTATATTTTTGATATTTATTTTATATATTTAAATGCCATTTAACAAAGAAAAATCAACCAAAAAAAATGAGTTCGCGTGTCACCTCTGACAAGCGTGTCATAGGTTCGCCATCACTGCCCCTTCCTCTCTGTAAAAAATCAATAAAATATATTTAAAAAAAAAATAAAACCTTCCCCCAAAGCCATCCGGGCCCAAATGGCTTTACTGGTGAATTTTACAACATTTAAGGAAAAATTGTTACCAATTCTATTAAAATTCTTCCAGAAAAATGGAAGAGGAGGGACTATTTCTCAATTCATTTTGAGGTCAACATTAACCTGATACCAAAACTAAAGAGAGACAGTTCTAGGAAAGGAAACTATGGACCAATATAAACACAGATGAAAATACTCTAAACAAAATTTTAGCAAGTTAAATCCAGCAATATAAAGAAAGAATAATACATTGTGATCAAATGGGATTTATTTCAAGAAAGCACGTTGGCTTAACATTTGAAAAACCAATCAATGTAATTCACCATATTAAGCTAAAAAAAGAAAATTTGTAGAAGCAGAGAAAGCATCTAGAAATTTAACATTCATTTTTGATAAAACCCATCAGACACTAGGGTTGGAAATTCTCAGCCTGAAAAAGGGCATCTATGAAAAACTTATAACTAACATTGTACTTAATGATGGAGGACTAGACTAAAGCAAGGATGTTCATTCGCACCGCTTTCATTCACTACTGTGCTAAAGGTCTTTGCCAGTATAATAAGACAAAAAGTAGATTAGACAATGTGATTATTTATAGAGAAAATCATATACAATCTAGAAAAGCTACTAGAACTGATAAGTGAATTTAGCAAGGATGTAGGATACAATATTAATGTGCAAAAACCAGTTGTGTTTCTATATGCTAGCAAGGAACAATGAAATTGAAATTCAAAATTGATACAATAAAAAATATGAAATACTTATAAGATAAATCTGACAAAAGATGTGAAAGACTTGTACATGAAAACTATAAAACGTTGCTGGTAGACACTAAAGAGGACCTAAATACATAAATGCACACATATGCTGAATTCATGTATCAGAAGACTCAATATTGTTAAGATGTCAGTTTTCTC